AAATAACATGTTCCACTGCTACCTGGAATTATGTTTTGTGCCGCCGCCGACATCGTGTTTTTGTACCATGTGACAAAGCGTGGCACTTCCCTTTATTAATGAGCGAAGACCTGTCGAGGAAATGGACTGTGAAATAGTAATAAATTTAGTACCAAAATGTACGAATTCTTTTGTATGTATGTATAGCATTTCGAAGATTTGTGTTTCTACTTTTCAATTGGGCTTTATTTAACCACTTTTTGTCTGTCGCGGAAAGCCTTTATCGCCTGCCGATCTTTTAAGGGAACGAAATGTCAAGATTCCGAAGCACTTTGATTCTTACTAAGCTTGTGTTGATTTGCATATTTCTTAAGTAGGTACTTGAGAAATTATGAGTTTGTCATAAAGTCATTACGTTTTGCAAGACTTTTTTCTCATTGAATTTTTAAAGTATCTTGGTACCTAGTCCTGAAATTAATAAAGTATTGTCCAATGGCTTTTAACAATGTTGGTAATTTGAAATAGTTTTTGTATTTTATGCACAAACTCCTAAAATAAAGAACATCTATCTTTTGTTTAGTTGGATGGCGACTGAATATCAATTTTTCTTTTATTGAAAAACTGAAAACTGGAAAAATTTAATACACCCAAAAGCACCAAAGTTACAGGTATCGTCACAATGTCTATATTTTATTTTATAATTATTTACCTACTTATTTGTAGTTTTAATTTAGTAGGGCGAAGGGGCAAAGCTTTGTAACCCTTGTATCCTTGACCCAAGAGCCCAATCTCATATCAAGCAGCCCATCGTAATCAAACCACCAATGGCGAATGTAAACATGCATTCGTTGCCAGTAACTTTTCCAGTTTCCGTAATGTTCCTGTAGTGTAATATTAAAATAATATTTCCCGAACTCTAAATTGCCCCGACGTTTGCCGTTCACTCTGTTAATGACTCTTTAATGGGCCAAGACGATGGTTTTCACATATTTTGATTTCCACCTTCCAATTTATTCGCTTTTTGGAGCGAAAGGATGTTTAAATTCAAAACTCGTTACGAGCTCATACATTTATAAGCGCGAACCAATTTACAAAGATCCGTCAAATTGTGATTAACCCATTTAGACCGATAATTATTTTTGTAAATAAATATCGTTTTTTCAGCAAAAACTTACAAAGGGAAGCCTAAAAATCATGAAAAAAATATTTAAAAAAATAATCCATAAATAGGGGGCCGTGGGGAGCCCGTACCATATAGGGTACAGTAGGTCTATAAGCAAGCAAAACATAGTCGTTGTTCAAAGAAGATTTTTATTTATTTTTGTATGATATAAAATAAAAATAAAATTACATGATCACTAATATCACTCTTGACATATCTTGTAAGACGTTTTCTGTGATACTAACCACATTTGGTTCTTTTTCCTACCTTCTCCTAAGTTAGTGAGGATAGCTGAAGAAGACCTGACTTCTTCTGATTTGTTACGTTTAGTGCTATCCATAATCGCATTAAGCAACACGATGATGGAAATTTAGCAAATCCATCGAAGAAAACTCTGAGGGTTATTATTTACATTGACACTCTCTTTATCGCCTAAATCTTCGTCAATCTGATCATCATTAGCGGTCATCTGATAAGACAGCAGTAGAAAAATACCAAGACTGCTTTATGTTTGCTGAAATTATCAAATTTTTCATGAGTTGTGGCAATATGGTGAAGCATCAATAGCCTAAAACAAATGAAAATAATAAATATTAATTATATTTTTTTGCATGATTTGCTCATGCATAGACCTACTGTACCTTATACGGTACACCTATTTTAGACTAGAATAAATCGTATAAAAATAATCTGAATAATATTTTTTGTGTAGTCATGATAACTATTGTACTCTATTTTTAAAATAAAATTGATAAATAACATAATTTACCATGAGTATAAGAAATTATACCTTCTTAAATACATTGTAAATATTTTTTTGGTTTTCTGTCGAGGAATTTCATAAATATTTCCGAAACCACTTGTTAAAACATATTTTAAAATATTTTTATGTAAAATAATCACTTTAAGCTTACCGTCACAATCATTTTTACAAATTAACAACAGTTTGGTACTTCGAAATATTTTCAAAAAGATACCGTACCACATAGGGTACGGTAGGGCTAAATGGGTTAAAACGAGCATGTCGTCTACATAATTTAAGGTCCTAGAAATAGAATTGATTAGTGAAAAAGGAATATAGAGTCAAGGTCTTATTCAGAACTTTAGGTAAAACGACGTTGATCGCAGGTTGATTACCTACTATCATTACCAGCAAAGAAACTAATTTATTGAAACCAAAATAATAAAAATTACGATAACTCATAACGGTTCAACCCAGTCATAAAAACACATAAATAAAACCATACAGCCCTATCATGTTATTTATTGTTACACTAGCTTTCCGCCCGCGGCTTCGCCCGCGTGGATTTTTGTCTGTCACAGAAAAACTTTATCGCGCGCGTCCCTGTTTCAAAAACCGGGATAAAAACTATCCTATGTTCTTTCCCGGGACTCAAACTATCTCTATGCCAAATTTCATCAAAATCGGTTGCGAGGTTTAAGCGGGAAAGCGTAACAGACAGACAGACAGACAGACAGACAGACAGACAGACAGACAGACAGACAGAGTTACTTTCGCATTTATAATATTAGTTGGGATTCCGCTTGGCTCCATTCGATTCGCGCCAATTTCCCATCATAAGTAGCGAAAATGGCGCTGATTACAGTCACGTCAGAACACTTGTTACACGCCGGATCAAATGGCGCGCATCGATCACTAGCGCCATGTTTAGATTGCCAGAATTATGGCGCCTCCGCTTGTCTTTGGATTAGCGGGAAGAAAAATAACACCAATAATTCAACTCTTTTGACTCTAGTATTTGTGTCTCAATCATTAAAATTAGGTACGTGAACCACTTAATTTCTTAAGTAGTATCACATTTGTAGAAAAATATGAGAAAGGTTTCTCTGTACGTTTGGTACAGTTTTTTTTTATCTACAACGAGGAAGCTCTTGGCCTCTCGGAATTTATGTTTAACTTTTTGTTGTTAAAAATGCTTTGTAGGGTGAAATACGATCGAAAGCTTGAATGAAAACTTTTCACGTCACAAATCAGGGTTATGTTTAATTTTAATATAAATTTTCTTTTAAAACGTTTTTGAAAAATCATCCCTAATTCCCTATGCATGCAGTAACAAAAGTCTGAAAGCTTAAAGCCTTAAAGCAAGAAATAGTTTACATTAATTAATTGCTCTATACGGATAAAGCCACTGGCGCCGGATAGTTTTGTTTGACTTCCTTTTAATATAATTACTATTTCCAATACCAACCGACTGTATTAGAGTGTAATGTAAGTACTCAGCGTCTCCACTGACGTACAAAAGAATCTACTTAATGTAGCCGTTCAATATTTTTTCAAACTTACCAATTCATTTAATGGTCCTCCTTCTTCCTCGGCCTTAATCAGTTTGTATTACGTAAACAGATTGATCAAAATTGTTTAGCAAACATATTGATGTTTTAGCTTATTAAATCCGGCTTTGCGTTAGGTAGTGATCGACAGTTTTAGCTTAGCCTAGTTAGCGTCCAATTACTCAGCGGCCGAGTCAGCAGATTCCGAAATAAGATAACGAAAATAATTATACTATGACGTCAGCAAAAACAAGTAATACCAAAAGCCGTAGTCTTTAGCTAAAAATAAAAAGATGTCTAATTTGTATTGACGAAATGACACGAAAGGAACAAAGCAATTCAACGCCCCACACCGTTTCCATTGTCAAAAAGGATTCAAATTAATATTGATGATATCTCACTGTTGGTGCTAGTAAATTAAATTATGGCTTAATTGCTTGACGTCAAATTGATGCAATTACGAAGGCAAGTTGATTGAATTAATTAGTATGTTGAAAATATCCAGTCAATGTATTGGATCGCTTGATTGTTGGTATTCGAACCCTAGATGAAAGAGTAAATTTTTTTGGATCTACATTTACAGTCCACGCCGATTGACTGTGACTATTTTGTAGATAAGAGATGTTAAAAATCTACTGACTCGTACTTAAGTACGTATCAATATTATGATTTCAGTTGATCAAAATTTTTGGAGTTTGGAGTTGGAGTCGGTTTTTTTTTTTTTTATAAAATTTTACTTATTTCTTGCTTTTTAGTTAACTAATTATTACCTTGATGTTACCACTGAAGGTAGGCAGTACACTGAGACCAAAAAAAATTGGTTTATAATCGGCGGAGATATTGCGTATAAAAAAGTTCATCCCCAATTTTCCACCCTTGGGGGTGAAATATTTTCTTCAAATTCGCATGAAACCACCCTTTTGATAATACCTATTCAACAAAAAAATAATCGTTCAAATTGGTTTATAATCGGCGGAGATATTGCGTATAAAAAAGTTCATCCCCAATTTTCCACCCTTGGGGGTTGTTTTTTTTATTATGAAATTTAAATGGGACCACCCTTGAGGTATTACCTATACGCCGAAAAAAGATTTGTTCAAATCGGTTCATAATTGGCGGAGTTATCGCGTAACAAACATAGAAAAAAAAAAAACATACGGGTCGAATTGAGAACCTCCTCCTTTTTTGAAGTCGGTTGAAAAATTCGGTTCTCCTAATTGTTAGAAGTGGAAAGTACTGTGTAAAAGTTTGCTGACTTTAATTTCAATGTTTTCAGATTTATTGACTTGGACTATACTCGTAATGCTAAGTCCACGTCAGAGACATCATTCAGTATTTCAATTTTCTTTATTTGGAACAGACAAACAAATTAACACAAAATTACTTAGCACGCAACTACGGCGTAATTATGAGCCGCCACGGTAACCTCAATTAGGGTAAATAACTCATTATAATTCTAAGAAATTAAAAGACAAAGTAATTACATGTCTTCGATTTTATTATTTTTTGTAACGATCAGGATATTAACATACATTGTTTGGAAGAAGTTATTCATTATGTTTTCACTACGCTATTTAGAGATACGCAGAAAAAGACTTCAATTGTAACGCTGGAAAAGGTTTTCAAACGTTATATCAAGTTGTTTTGAAAATGACTTTTATTACCCTCATCCAAAGTTGCAATCGGAGTCAAAGCACTGTAAACAATTTAAAACTTTAAACTTTCGGCGTCAATTTAGTCATATTTAGATACGTCTGAAACAAATAACTAGCTGTAAATAGGCTTTCTATTCTTATCAGTTACAGTTGATCATTTCAAATATTATTTACATTTTATAATTTATCGTACTCAATAAAAACTCTATAATATAAATGTCTCTATTCAAGATTAGCAAATATACATGGCACATTCAATATAAACAGTTTCTTATGTCATGACAGATACAATTCTCATGTCCAACAATAGCTATTCGAAGTTAAATAGTACCGTTATTTATAATTGTTACATTGCCTTAGATATTCTCCTAGACAACTATATACAAGTTTAATTAAATCTAGTTATTATCACGTTACACGATGATGGAATTGTGAAAATAAAACAATAAAAACACATGTTACCCCAAGACACAATTAAAATGTAAAAACAATTATATTTTCCTAATAGTGGATAATTATTGGAAAGCAAATTAATATAATTTACTGACAATTTATTAATTGGGGAGTATACAAAATATTGTTGTTTATAAGTACACATTGCTATAATTAAAAAACTGTTAACATGCGTAGGAAGAAAATCGTTTTAATAACCACCGTGGGAAGGAGTTTGCGTGCGTTGCTGGATCCAGCCACGATAACTTTTCCATCGTTGGCGTACCATTTGTTGGCTCGGTCTGGCACTCTGTTGCTCTTGATATTTTCGTTGTCTACGTCCTCATCGTATATCTCAGTTCCGTATTCGTCATCAGAAGTTATCCTTTCGTCCGGATATTGGTAGACATGTCTATCGTTGCCCGGGATTTCTGCACGATAAAGTACGGTCTGTTATGTTACTTAAGGGAAAGGTTTTTCTTATTATACTTTTGTATAGAGTCGGCCGCGTTATAAAAACATCGTCTTCGTATTAGAATGGAGGTCCCGAATGAGATGGCGCTTTCGAAGGTTAAGTTTTTAGCTTGATACAGAAAAGGGACATTTTTGTAAAGGAATTCTCTATTTTCGATACAGAGTTCATCCAAGGTAAAGCTCTATCGGAATGGAATAGTTTTGGGAAAATATTATTTGAGTTCAACTTACCGTATAGTCTAATTTTGCTTTCGACGTCTCCTAGGGAGTTTTTCGCTACACAAATGTAGCTGCCGAGGTCTTCTCGCCTTATGTTCTTTATGGTCATGGTCATCTCAGCTTCAAACATGGACTTCTGCCTCACAGTCATCTCGTGATGCTCAGACGGTATTATCAGCTCACCTGCGGAACAATTTATTACTTAAAACACTTGCTTTCAAATTCAATATTAGAATTTCATCTTTCCACGGCGAAGTTTTATGAAAAATGTAAAAAGTTTCCGCAGACACCTAGAGTTTTATGGCTGTCTTATAATTTGTTTCACTTTTATCGGGGATGCGAGGGAGTTAATCAAATGCAAGTAGTATTTAGATTCAGGTGATATTTATGAAGGAAGTTTGCTTATTAAGGACCTTTTCCCACGGCTATCGAGTTATATCCCTAACTTACTGAGAAAGCATTTGTTCACACGGTTAGTATCTCATTTTTGGCAGCTACGATTTTTTGTGGTACAGGTGTTTGCAAACAAATTATGCATGAAGCTGCTAGTAGGAACACTTTTATTAAACAATACTTGTAATTTAACTAGATGCTGTTTTTTACTGGTTCAGTTTTATGAAAATATCTAATAGTGAATTCGAGCGGATCGATTTTTTGGAGGGCGGAAAATCTAGTAATAATACAAAATCCTGCCAAAAACAGTACCTGCAAGAACGGGATGTCATCGTAGCAAAGAGCCCTAAGGGTGTATCGAAAGGGGGTTAGGGATATCTGGGATGACTTACCTGGGTCTTTGACCCAATAGTTAATGGATTTTGGCGAGGACTCGACGTAGCACTCGAGGGTAACATCTGTGCCGAGCGGAGCGCCCACCAGTTGGTTTGGCACCTGAATCACTGGGTGAACTGTGTGGGGAGAACAGATGCACATTTCAAATATTAGTTTTCTACTTTAGTTAGGCTAGATGACAAAATTTCAATTATTTGCCCGTCACCCGTCAGGCAGACATTTAGAAAATTCGTAGTTTTTATGTTCTTTCATTTTTTTTATGCAAGATAAGTTAATCCCTTTCAGTGAAATCTAATGTTTTCAACATCACGAAACTTCTCCATTGAGTTAAGTTTCATGTGGCGACATCCACCAGTAGCCTACATACTCGTATTTTAATAATAACAGTACATAACATAACCAAAACAAATGGTGATCATTTACTAAAGTAGACGTGACACAATAAGTATCAAATTATTATGTAGGTATTTAGTCAAATAATAATCTTCAGTAATTTTTCATCCTCAGGTATCCTCGGTAAACATTTTATTTTTTATTCAACAGTTCACAATAAAAATGATCACCCGGGTGATATTTTTCTTTAATTTTAGCCCAAAAATATTCTATCATAAAATTAATGGATAAGAAATACAGTGAAAAGAATTTAGATTTTTACTTGTAGCCTTGTCAACATAATTTGATTGAGCTTTTTTGTTGGATCTGTCGATGAAATATTTAGGCCTTGTATTTTATCCCGCGCTCCAAACCTACCTGCTGAAGTAATCTTCTCTATAGGTCATAACCAGCGATCGATCTTTTTAAATAAGCTTCTGTTCTGGGTTATCAGACGCTGTATATCATGTACCATAAAATATTGTTGCTTACATTTTTTTGGTATCAAGTTCTTCCATTTTATATGAATCAATTTTTAGGGTTCCTTTAAGATTTTGAATTATAAGAATGCTTGAAAATCAAAGTTGAACTTTATGTCTCAGTAGACATTTTGATAAATTAAATGATTATGCAACTTTTATTACGATCTCATTATTTAAAGAAAAACTACTTTTCAACAAAGGTTTTAAACAGAAATAGAAGAAAAGAAAGTTATGTAGTTACTTAAATAGTCCTTTATTTGTTAACTATTCAAAAAATTATGATCCTGTTTTGATATAATTCCTTTCTAATCTTCCTTATCCAATTTTTATTTATTCTTGATAGAAACATTCAAATGACACACAGTTAAAACTTTATAATCTTGATACAAATAGTTAAATTAACACTTAATACTTACAATGTACACTTATATGGATCCTCTTGCTAACGGTGGGGGGAACACCGTTACCGGCGATGCACAAATACGTGCCCATCTCTGACCGCGAGATCTTGGTCAGCTTCAGGATCTCGCCTTGGTAAGTCAATACTGTGGACAAGGATAGTATCTGAAATCATTATCGTCAGGTGATTTAGTGGAAATTGCAGGATTGTCTCCAATCTTGAAGATTTGCCCTATATTCCCCATGCTAGTTCCAAGAGTCGGGATGGCCAAATGTTAGCAACTTCTTTCTTAGGGTTGATTTTATAATCGTCGGATAACTTTTATCTGAAGAATAAGTTTGGCACATTGATAGTTTCAGTATGGGAAATAAATGTCAAAATGACAAGATTAATCTGCAGTTAAAAGATATCTGACGATTGAAAATTCAGTATTGTCTTAGTATTGTCTTTTACGGAAGGACTTAGATGATCTTATTCTCCTCTGCTGAAACCACATGGCAAGTTCGGCACGGCCACTATATTACAAAATCAGTGTGATACATTGTAAGCCAAATATAGTTAGCAAAAGTGCTAGAAGTTGGTTTTTTCGGAGAAAGCATTTTTCTCTCGCTGCAGTGCGGTAAAGTTAAGATTCTATGTAGAAGCTTCAATCTAGATCAATCCAGTGTTTTAATTTTGTTAATTTGTGAAACAAATAATTGACATGCCTACACTTGTATGTAGGTATGTAGAACCATACTAAAGACTAAGGAACTTTCTTATTGTGTGCTAAATTAATGAAGTGCTCGTCGTAGCTAACAATAATCATAAAATACGGTTCTTGGCTACAACGCAGTTGCAGTGGGGTTAAAATAATAATGAACATCTGGCAAAGCTTAACTTGCAATGAATGTGATTTCGCGAATTTCCGACGTTTCTCANGTATGTAACATAAAATGTTGTTGCTCACATTTTTTGGTATCAAGTTCTTCTATTTTATATGAATCAATTTTTAGGGTTCCTTTAAGATTTTGAATTATAAGATAGCTTGAAAATCAAAATTGAATTTTACGTCTCAGTAGACATTTTGATAAATTAAATGATTATGCAACTTTTATTACGATCTCATTATTTAAAGAAAAACTACTTTTCAACAAAGGTTTTAAACAGAAATAGAAGAAAAGAAAGTTATGTAGTTACTTAAATAGTCCTTTATATTTGTTAACTATTCAAAGAATTATGATCCTGTTTTGATCTAATTCCTTTCTAATCTTCCTTATTCAATTTTTATTTATTCTTGATAGAAACATTCAAATGACACTTAAAACTTTATAATCTTGATAGAAATAGTTAAATTAACACTTAATACTTACAATGTACACTTATATGGATCCTCTTGCTAACGGTTGGGGGAACACCGTTACCGGCGATGCACAAATATGTGCCCATCTCTGACCGCGAGATCTTGGTCAGCTTCAGGATCTCGCCTTGGTAAGTCAGTACTGTGGACAAAGGTAGTGTCTGAAATCATCATCATCGTCAGGTAATTTAGGCATCGTTCATACCAAACGTTTTTTCGGCCACTGACTGTGAGCGCGCGTTACGTAGTTTATCGCTTTTCCACTTAACTTGTCGTTCACACCGAACCGACTATCAATTACGTAGTGCTTTAGTATTTTTAAATTAAAATGAGCATACACACAATCGGCGGCGGACAATACGTTCGGTGTGAACGATGCCTAGTCTCTATTGCAGGACTCTCTCTAATCTACCAGAAGGTTGGCCCATATTCCCCATGCTGGTTCCAAGAGTTGGAATTTCCAGATGTTGAAAACTTTTTTCCAGATCGTCTTTTAGGCAGCACTTAGATGATTCTATTCTACTCTGCCACATGGCATGCGACACGGCAACAAAACTCCAAAATCAGTGGGATACGGCAATAGTAAGGCAAAAATAGTTAGCAAGTGCTAGAAGTTAGTTTTTAGGAGAAAGAGCATTTTTCTCTCTCTGCAGTGCGATAAAGTTAAGATTCTATATAGAAGCCTCTCAATCCAGTGTTTTGGATTTTTTAATTTGTGAAACAAATAATCGACATACCTACGCATAGGTACGGATGTAGATCCATACTATACAGACTAAGAAACTTATCTTGTGTGCTAAATTAATAAAGTGCTCGTCGTAGCTAACAATAATCATAAAATATGGTTCTTGGCTACAACGCAGTTGCAGTGGGGTTAAAATAATAATGAGCATCTGGCAAAGCTTAACTTGCAATGAATGTGATTTCGCGAATTTCCGATGTTTCTCAGAACTGGTTTACTCGAGATGCAGGTATTTGGAATTACTGTTTCTAAGGTAGTATTAATAAGGGCTGTTTTTCCTTCATAATTCTGTATTGTGAATTTTCCAATCACTTCAATGTAATTGGAATTCGATCAATCAGCCGCGTCTATTGCAGACGGCATATAATATGCAGCGGTTTGGGAACATTTCTTTTCATCGCTGTGAGCCGATACGAGATCCTCAAAGATCTCATACGTATTGTCGAACGTTCTTGGAAAGTACTTACACGAGTCTTGTAAGCAATCTTGTTCTAAAGGGTAGTTTTTTTTCATTAAATGAAAAGTTACATTATTTGACAATTTAATAAATAGGTGTATGATGAAAAGACATTATTATGTAGGCTGATATTTATATCGCCAGCTTGAATTTTAAAATTAATGATATTCGTCACAACTCTGTTTTAAATATTTTTCTTTTTTCAGCCATCTTCATTTATTTAAGCTTATGAACATTACCAATATAAGCTCTTTTCAACATAAATTGTTCATCAACCAAATCCGTTTAAGCGTAATGATCACGTTTTTTCAATAAACCATTAAAACGCTTTTCGAGTACAATAAGATCTAGGAGTCTATTCAGTGCAGAACTCTACTAATTACGACAAACTTTAAACAATACTGGACTCGAAACTCATCCCGAGAATGGTCGCCGCACGGCTCATTGTGAACCACAAATGCGGTCACACAGACACTCGTATTATTATACATATTCGGAAAAACAATGCCGTCCTTGCGCTATTCAAATAACTAAGACAAATGGAATATTTTTTCAACACTTGTGCTGCGAATTTTTGGACTCAATTATATTTTGAAATGGAAACTTGCAAATTTTATGAAGGTACACATAATAAGGTCAGATCGTGGGTACGAAGTGGAACAAAAGGCTACCCGAATTACGATTTTGTTATTATGTCCACCGAGTGAGCACGCTACTCGTGTTTTACCTAAAATATTATGTTTCATAAGGTTTTGTTTCACCTACACATGGACGAATTTTCAAAATATTTGTTACATGAGAACAGATGTGTAGGCTTACGTTTCACGATTTATTTTGAGGCGTATTTGAATCAAGTGGAAATATGTTTTATAAAGAATACTTGTCCTTATTATTTTACTTTCTTTGAAAAAATAAATGCTGTTTTACTAATGAACAATCTTGTAAAAAGCTTCACACCCATTAGTTTTTGCTTGCAATGAGTGCTAAGTAATTCTCTACAGTTCTTAACATTTTGATATACGCTACTATTTAGGTACAATAATACATATCTAAAATTGAAAGACATAGAAAAAGAGATAATAAGAAGTCTATAAAAATTAAGTAAAGTTTTAAGTTTCATAGTCATTAAGATTATTCATAAGCTAAAAAAATATTAGCCAGTAAATGAAAGTCAGAAAAGTTAAAAAAATATTATTATCATTAATATTTTTTCGCTGCTAAGCTGTCTATAAGACAAAAACCAAATACGACCCTAAATCACGTACAAGTATCACATAACCCTTCCACGCCGATGTTGTTTGAACGAGGAGTAATGGTGCTATGAAGAAATTTACCCGAAATTGTTGCTACGTGACCGGTTAGTAGGAACTAGGGAAGTGGGGAATTGGGGAAGCAGGGAGGTTGGACCGCGTCAGATAACGGACGTGACTGACTGATTGGACATTGGTAATCTTGTCTTATAAGTACTATTTCGAAATGTAGGAAAATAAAGCAATATGTTTAATACCTTATTTCAGGAATAATGGGATTTGTAGTAGACTTCTTAAAGTAATCTTGATTGATTGATTTATAAGTAAAGCTCCAGCTGGTTTTGTAATTTGGAACGTAAATTGTTAACCACCCACATAAACATCTCGTGGTGTTAAATTGTAACAGATCCATTAGGAGTTTTTAATGTCTATTTTTTTCAGTCTAGGATTACTTACCTGACATCTTTTAAAAAACTTTAAGCAAACTGACAACAATAAAATGAATGATGTGTAGGTGACCCAGTCTTACTCTAATCACAAAATACTTAGGAGTCTAATGGTGTTCGTGGCTGTGCAAGTATTTTGCTGTGTGTAATATATTTTGTAAGTTTATACAATAAAGTAAATAAATAACAAAATTTTCAGAGAGTAATCATAACAAAGCTGCAACAAATAAAAAAAACAAGTGAAGTTGAAGAAGATATAACATTACTTTCGTTAGTAACATGGTTCATTTGATAGTTATATTAATGAACTCCCCGAATTTAATCCTTCATAATAAGCTGTATAATAATGTTTACCAAAAACGAGATTAAATGCCCTGCTCGCTGTAATTTACCTATTCCATAAAGCGGGTTTCTGGTTAGTTACCGTCGGATCTCGTGTCTTTGTGTAGTTCGGTTCGGCTAATCAACTTAATATGACCTATTACAGCTTGTGAGTAAATAGATTTAGTTTATGTATTAAGATTATACGAATTTCAATGAGAGTTACAGTGAATATGTTGAATATTTGGGTTATTGTCTATATTCTACAAAATTGGAAGATTCATAAAAATAAATGCGTCATTTATAAACAAACATGCGTTATTTGAGAATTCAGTCATTTGTTGTGAGAAAAATGATTGATTCTGTGGCAAATCAATAATAAGCCATTTTTTATTGTTGAGTGTTTAAAGCTAATTTAAGATTTATTCGTAAATTATCTAGGTCGGAAATAATATTCGAAGCTAGGCCGCCAGAGATTACAAAATATCTGCTTCAAAATGACGACCATCTTCAATCGAATTAGAGCAGCATTGTTTTTTATTATAAGGCTCCACATTTATAAATTGTTTTTTTCTTTTTTAATTATGTAGATTCTGTACTTGTCGAGTGAATACAGCATTAAGTAGGTAAACTCTTTATCTCAGAATGACGTAAATAAACATTGCTTCAAAAGTTAACTTCAAATCTCTATAACACTTCTAACCAGCTCATTCAAAAACCTAATAGAAAAATGAAATCCCTGTAAAAATCTCAAAGGTTTTATGCATTTACACCTAGAGCATAAGCTCGTTAGCAGCTAGAGAAATGTAAATTTACGTTCACGCCGGAGAGGAATTCGCAGATTGGTTATGCAAGCGATATTGTCTTTTTGCGATCTTGATGCGGGAATTCGAAATGGCACAAAAACTCCTGCATCATGATTTAATTATTTGAGTGGATTGTTATGGCTGTGAATATACTTAGCTACGTAATGGGTAAATTGAAATTTCATATTTGGTAATTTCTCTTGACGTTTACAGAAGAATTAAAATTAAGTCATATTTACGAATCATAAAATAGAATAATCTTTATTGCCAAAACTGTGTACCTACAATCTGCTGGTTAAAATGCAAAAAATTATGTTACAATAGTGTTACCTATATTGGGCATAAAATATCCAATTCGATTTTAAAGTATGAAACCTTAATTATGTAGTTTCTTAAATAGGATTTAAAAATACGCGAGTTTTTAATTAAAATAAAAAGAGTAAAACGGTAGGTAGCTACTTGTGAAACAAGCAACAATAATGTTCTTTTGAACGTATACTTCTAAGAAAAAAGAGTCCGTTGAAGCCTGCATCCAACGTCTCCTTTCAATTTTCAGAAAAGTAAGTAATTCGTTGTTAATGCCAATAAATTAATCAGGTGAAGTTAATAGACTACCGTAAATAAAATTAAAAGTTAAACAGGACAAAAATGTTTGAACTTAGATGGTACACATTTAAGATCTCATAGCCGTCGAATAATACAAAAATAATTTAAATAAGTCATTTGTACCTTTGCTTTTTGCACCTGTGTGGTCCCGAACGACAATTTCTTGGCCATCTTCTCTTTTCCACATGACCCTCGGGGGCGGCACTCCCCGCGCCTTGCACGAGACCCTGGCTGTGCCTCCTTCGGGCACCATCGTGTCTCCCGACGTCTCCTCCGGGATGAAGTCTGGAGGTATCACCACGTCGAGGAAGCCCATCTGGTTGGAAAGAGATTAAAGTTTGGCTGTAGATGTTGATTCTATACTTGCTCCATAATAGGTTTTATAAAATACCGATATACTCGTAGTTTCATTAGTTTAGTTTAGAGAACCATTAGTGACTGACATAGCCCGCATAGTTGCTAAAATCAAGTGGCACCACGGGCACCACGGACACCACGGGCCGGAAGACGTAGTGTGGACAGGCCCCTTACTAAATGATCTGGTGAAGTTCGCGAGAAGAATCTGGATGCGGACAGCACAGGACTGGTCGTTGTGGAAATCCTTGGGGACCTTTGTCCTGCAGTGGACGTCATTCGGCTGAAACGATTTCATAGAACACGTCTATAATTTTCTTCTTTAACTGAAGGCAAGTTAAATACTCGGAAACAAGATTCTATGAAACTTTGCTTCTGCTCTTAAAGCAAACTAACTTCTGGAGTTGCCTAAGAAAATAATGCAAGTCGCATAACTGCATGTTATCAAAGTACAACTCAAACACATTAAAAAGCGGTTACTAAGGTATTCACTTTCCAGACAATCCTAGGGCTACACCGTAACTCCTCATGTAGTTTCTGGCTTATCTTTCAATGCAATATTCGAGATAGTCAAAACTGTAGATTACGTTTTAAGGTCATAGGGGATCAACAGCGTATCGCTTTTCGCGAGCTGTCTCATCGCCTTTTGCGCGCGCTCTGGCGAGGCGTTTACATTACGGTGCGGATAAGTGTACGTTGCAGTATCAAGTTTCATAAAAAAGAATACTTACTGACCGCCTCGAGTTGATACGGTTACAATAAGAAGTAGCCCCGCTGGCACGGGCCGCTTTTGGATTCAAAAGCTACTGGTCATGAAAATCCAATTTATTCAAACATACTTATTAATCGCTTCCTGGAAATAATTATATGTGATATCTGAAATTAATATTACGATGTTTACCCCAAGGTTAATTGCTATTGAGCTCATTCATTTCCGATAATATGGACATCGGACCCTATGCCTTTTTTCATCTTTTATTACTCAGAAAGTGAATACCAAAGTGTGTGTATTAAAATTTCTATGAAATATTTGGATCGTCTAAGTAATCTTTACTCAGCCCATTTGAAGGTAATAAGACTGACCTGACTTTTCATAGGGTCCGTGTTGATTTGACACATATATTGCCCCCTGTCTTCTTCCTGCACGTTCTTGATGTGGAGGTACCAGGTCGAGTGGTCGCTGTGGGAGACAGACACGCGGGAATTGTGCGTGATGACCAGCTCGTGGATAGCTTGGATGGCCTTCGTGTCTGCTTTTACCCAGCCCACCTGGAGATATAGTTTAATTAAAAGTCTAATATGTAAGTGTAACAGTGTGCATCCCCTGTCGAGCGGTGTAGAGTGAAAAATATGCACATAAATAAATAATGTTACTTATTTAAAAATCGTTAATTTTAATTATGATGGACATTGTTTTTGACCCATAAAAGTAGGTAGATATATTCAAAGTCAAGTAAATAGAGTTTACTAATGTTAAAGCTGAATAACCATTTTTGTTGATCGCCTGATTTGATGATTTGATCATCGGATCACAACTTGGACTTTCTAATGGAGTCAGAATGGAGAATCACATGTGCCCCAAAAATGTCCGTTTGGTAGATAAGAAAGATGTTTTTATCTTTCAAGAAACTTGTCATGTATTTATCACCCGTTCGCTTTGTGTGAGATGAAATCAGATCGCGGTTGATAAACATTAGCAATATCTAAGTTTCTGACGCGATTTAAATGCAAATACTGTTACAACATTATTCGTCTTTACAAATACACAGCTACGTTATTTGGCACTCACTATGCGCAAACCAAGGAAACAACAAAGCTGACTCTAATTCCCATGCAAGGGTACCTCGCTGTTTTACAATTAAATGAATGGAACAAAATTAGAATTCTAGCTCGAAACTTTACAGGTCTTAACTGAACTATATAAACACCAATGCAAAATTGACTTTGCCAATTTGCTGATAGCTTCGCTACCATTTATTTTGTTGCGAACTCCGAGATAACAGTTTTAAAGTTGTTGCTTGGTTGTAAGATTCTGTTTTTAGCGGTTCCGTGCAATCTGTGTCCAGTTTGTTACTTAACATCTTTCGCAATTTGGTAGGTACAGCGATTACATTTTTAATTGCCATTATATTGAACATGAAAGAAAAATTTTCATTATTAAATTAAAGGCTTCTGACTTATAAAAATAATCATGAAAATTGTATAATATTACCAAGTTAATCACTTCACTTCCAGTAATTACTGGAATTTGATTATTAATTCATCTTCCTTTTACATCGTGGACAAGTATACATTCCTTGAGGTGGACGACCAATCGATTTTTAAATTACCTTCGTAACTTTGAACTCCATGTACCAAGAAAGCAAAGGGACTATAATTTAGGGTGTAATTTCTTTATGGGGGTAGTAATTTGCCATTCGTTACATACCCGGTAGTTGCCAAGGTTGACGACGATACATTCGAAGGTCGCGTCGCGTCCGATGGGCACTGTCAAGTTCGTGATGGGCTCGCCGAATTCGGGCACCTCAACACCTACACCTGCTAACAAGAAACACAAAGCTAAGTATTAACTATAGTTACAATAGTCATAGTTATAAATATTTACTTATATTATGTTAGAAGCAAAAGTTCTTAAGTGAATAAATACGTAATGAGCCTACTAAGGGTATTGTAACTAACGCCAGTATTTACTATCATTACTATGAGGTCTCACAGTGTGCGTGGACGCACAGGGTGACACACGAACGAACTAATCACAGAGCTCTATTCAACGCTGTGCGTTCGATTTGCTTCTTCGGGCGATAATTACGGTGTACGTTATGCTCCGCTACGGTGTGCTACGAAGCACTACGATGCGTTACGCTCCGTTACGATGCGTTACGCTCCGCTGCGATGCGCTACGCTTCGCTACGATGCGGTACGCTCTGCTACGGTGCGCTACGCTACGTTCTTGATCATCAATCTCATTCAAATAATACAAACGCGCTCTGATGGAGCAAACTTTCTCAGAAGATGCCTTTCATTATTTTAGTCTAAGACTTGTAGGTATCGTTACAGAGTTCGAAGTAAGCCAGTGCCGTCATATTGATTTCACCTTCCAATCAAGATTAGCTTTATTCACATCACTAGAAATAAAATTAATATAATCTATTGTCAATATCAGTTAGTTCTGTTTACAAGATTGTTGTATTCTAGCGGTGTCAACGTTAGTAAAGTAAGCCTGTACGTCTTTGCTGGGATGTTTCTTTATGCATTACTTGGGTGGTTTGTTTGAAATGCCGCTCTTCCACGAATTGGTGACGGAGTTTATAACAAAGATGTAAAAAGCCTTTGATTTGTTATTTATTTAAGAAATTTAGAAAGTTTGGTACGGCATTACTATAATACTCGTAATGTTGTGGTAGGTTCATCAGAAACTCTATTGAGATATAAATACTCGACAATTCCTCGCCTATTATTAAAGACAACTTTTTTTTTATCCACAACGAGGAAGCTCTTGGCCTGTATCTCATCTGATGGTAAGTGACGATCAGGCCGAAGGTGGAAGCGAGCTTCACCCGGAATCTTCAACCATGGAGGAACTGGCTATCTTACCTCTAACTGCCGGAACACAATAATGCTGTTGCAACGTAACGTAACTTGCTGGCAGAATTCGTCGCGTACCTATTTATTTAGAACAATTCAGTTGTATTTTTGGTTTCCATTCTTAATAATTAATCGTACTTTAAAGAACACTTTATAAAACATTTTAATTTTAATTTTGTGTTTAATTTGTAAATGTTTACACGTACGAGATACATCAGACCAGTACAATGGTGAAGCGGAAAGTCGTGCGAAAACGCTGCGAGGGCTTAAGGGCTTGACGACCCCTTACCTGGTAATGAAAACAATTTGCTCAAAAAATCCACGAGTTATATTTTATTAATGATAATTGTAAAGAAGAACGATTATTATTTACAGGTAATTAAATTATTAATGTTCTCAACGTGTAAGCCGCGAGACTCTTAGGAATTTTAAAGGGTTACTGTTGGCATTTACGAGTACCTACTGAAAATTGTGAAAAACATGGTGATACTGTAGCTACATTAAGACCATTGTTTTCATATCTGAGTTAATACTCGTATCAAAAAGTCTGTTTTAATCATTCGGCGAGTTGAGATACAGAGACAAAAGTCTGAATTTAAAACATTTTGCCAATAATCAAAAATAAACAAAACACAACCGTAACAAACTTTCTACCTGCAAAATAATGTGTTTTCACTCGGGTGTTAGTTAATTCTCGTTACGTGAGAACTACGAATAACAATTAGGTGTCAAAGTGGCGGCGACACATAGGTGCGTGTTGAATTAGTTCCCAAGACAATGTTGACGCAGCGTCGCCGCTACAAGACGAAACTTTAAGGAACATTGGTTTGCTTGTGTCACAGTATAAATAGATCAGCTAACTAAAATAGAACAAGAGCAGTTAGAGGTAAAATTCAATCAAACCACCACTTTGCGATCACATATCGGGTGTTGGTGAGAAGGAAAATATACGAGCAGGTAAATCGGAAGTTGCAACTGTCGTTTTAGCTTCATTTGGAAATAATAGTGGTATATTTTCATTTCAGTCTATCAAGGAAATAAAAAAAAAATACAGTTAAACATAGAACCTCCTCCTTCTTTTAAGTCGGTTAAAAAACTACCTACTAATGAAGACTACTCTCCCTTTCTTTTTGCACTGAATAGTGTCTTTTAGTCATAAGATGAGAACATTCATCGTCTAGTCGTTTATCAAACTTAAGTACTCTACCTACCGCTATACCGTTAAAACGTTGCGTAAATTTTTTATTAAATGAGCAATAAATACCTTTATTATTTCCCTACATGATTATTAATGGGTAGGCTCATCTTCCTGAACTATGCGCGTTCTCGGGCTTATCGCAACCAAGCCGCAGTCCCCACACAGTTAACTCTCTCAACACGGTTCGAAAGTAGGCCAAAAATGTATTTAGTGCGATAAAAACACTCGTTAGTTTATCTAAGTTCAGCCAGTACGACTTCAACGGGTTTCTGGGAGGCATTGGAATTCTATACAACTGGAAAGTTGGCCGGCTTGATAGAAAGGAAGAAGTTCTTGAATGGTGGATAGTTAGTCATTGAAATTAGTGTTGTATATTTTGTTTTGCAAAAAGTTTCCGTTACGTTGCCAGACTTTACGAACCATCGTCATTGTGTATCCCTCAAAAATTATACCCAGAACCACTTGATCAATCAAGAATATCAAATTCTCTGATGAGTAAAAATTTTTGTTGCCAGAAATATTTTTAGACTTACTTGCACTGATTAGGGCTTCATAATCATCATCATCATCATTTCAGCAATAGGACGTCATTTCTGAACATATGCCAATGATTTCCATACTTAATGAGATTAGATTAGGGTTTGTTTATTATTATCGATACCTATGTCAGATACCTAACTATAATTGTTACTAATCCGATGACCATGAGCAACTTTGTAGTATCAAATCGTTCGTAAATAGCCAAATACAGAAACTTCAGGAAAAATCACGTAAATCAATTTAGCGCTACTGCGCTGAAGTGGTTGCGTATAAGTTGGAAACTGTAATTTTTCTGTGCAGTAGGAAAAGAACTAGCGTAGACAAAATCGGAACTGCAGATATCCAATTTTACATCTTACTTTAACGATTGATGGGTCAGTTTGGCTTGCATTACCTACACGCAAGTAAATAATACCAGAAAATTGTAAGTATTGTAATTTATCTAAAATATTTATAAAATATGGAGGAGACCAAAAATGTTGCAAATTATTAACGAATTTCTTTTTATAAATGGGTTTCCAAAGAATCTTTAAGCTTATTTCAGCCACAATATACCTGATATTCATTTATTATCACGAAAAGTTCCCAACCAAACACCGCTGTCAGTTGTATACGCTGCTATCACAAAGTTGCCCACGATACTGTCACGCGCAGTTGCACCTAGCCCGAAGACCTGCGCGAAGTGTCAACTAACCACTTCAACTTACCCCGTTATACGCGGTCTCAACTCCGCGAATAACTTCACAAGTGATAGTAACTAGACCGCCTTCTATCGTGGAATTGCTAACTAACAGAATTATTCAGAATGTTCGTGTTGCAAAACTGCGAACGTTATTAGGCTGTATGTGGATCGCAGTGTCACTTACAGTTGCGCGGCAAAGTTCGGTTTCGTGTTAATCTGCAATTAAATCATGTGCCTGTCCGCGTTGCTGGACGCTAGTAGTGATAATTTGGGCTCTGTTTTTGTTTTATCCGACTTAGGCATTAGATACGAATTTATTTCAGTATTCTAAGGCTGAATTGCACCACCTAACTTTGACCGTAACTTTAACCAGTGCTTTTTGTGTGGAGTTTGACAGATTTTTGACGTTTGTTAAAGTAAGATGGTGCAACCAAGCCTTAAAATATACCAACTTATTGCCGCAATACACTTTTTCTTAATCTATATAAATAAAAATGAATTGATGTTCGTTAGTCTGATTAAAACTCGAGAACGGCTGGGCCGATTGAACTGATTTTGGTTTTAAAATGTTTGTCGTAGTTCAGGGTAGGTCTAAACGGTGAGCAAATACGCGCGCGTTATTGTTTTTCTGTGACAGACAAAATTCCACGCGGGCGAAGCCGCGGGCGGAAAGCTAGTTTATAATATAAATTGGTTATGCACACGCAGATTTCATTTAGGTAACTTCATTTTCAATGTAACAATTTAATGAAACTAATGCACGATTATGTACATATTTGCAGATTAGGTAGGAGGCCTTTTTTAGGGTAAGTGAAATAAAATTTCGTGTTTTTTTAGCATTGTTTGATGATACAATAAATAACTAAGGAGCCTTCTATTAAATAAATCTAAATCCTGAGGCGTATTTAGCTTGAATTTTCTGTCCGATTCCAAATAAATCACATGTCTTTCATGGTTGGCTGGAGAGTTGCTATTGTGAATACCGAAGCTCTTCTCAGAAAAACGATTTCGTACGAAATTCTGGACACAGCTGAAAATTATGTTACAATCTTTGCCAAGTAATCTGTAATGGTAATACAGTAATAACTTTTGTTTTTTTAAGTTTGTAAAACATAATACGGTTAATTAGGCACTCCGTTTTTGTTAGTGATATTTGGCATAAAGTTTAAGGTCGTTGAGTAGGTAGTACTTCAGTTAGTGAATATAATTTTCTAAAACAATTCCCTCGTAACTATCCGGGGCCTTGTAGATACATTAATTTGTAACTAAACATGACTTTCGCTTTAGAACTTTATACGTATTTCATCTAGTTTGTCTATGACTTTTAGGGCCAAATGTTGGTATAATCTCCAACGGCGTCCACTCCGTAAGTATCAAAGTTTCATACTTATGGCCATATACATGTGCGAAAATTGCACTTGGCTCAGAGATATGGTTCTTCCAAAAGACAAGGACCTAAGGACCGGTTTTTTGTCAAGTTTACGAGTCACGCGAGGCTGAATAGTCAAGCCCTTGGAAAAATAAGCTCTATTATTA